CATCATCATCATCATCATCAGCATCATCATCATCAGCATCATCATAAGCAGCAGCATCATTATCATCACCATCACCATCATCATCATCATCATCGTCGTCATCATCATCAGCATCGTCAGCATCATCATCATCATCATCAGCATCGTCATCATCAGCATCATCATCATCAGCAGCATCATCATCATCATAATCATCATCATCATTATCCTCCTCCACCTCATCATCATCATCATCACCATCACCATCACCATCACCATCATCATCATCGTCGTCATCATCATCATCGTCGTCATCATCATCAGCATCATCATCAGCATCATCATCGTCATCATCATCAGCATCATCACCAGCAACATCATCATCATCGTCATCATCATCATAATCATCATCAGCATCATCATCGTCATCATCATCATGGTCGTCGTCGTCGTCATCATCAGCAGCAGCATCAGCATCAGCATCAGCACCAGCACCAGCATCAGCGTCATCATCAGCATAATAATCATCATCATCATCATCATCATCATCATCATCATCATCATCATCATCATCATAATCATCATAATCATCATCAGCATCAGCAGCAGCAGCATCATCCTCCGCCTCCTCCTCCGCCTCCTCATCCTCCTCTTCCTCCTCCTTCGCCTCCTCTTCCTTCTCCTCCTCCTTCTCCTCCTCTTCCTCCTCCGCCTCCTCCTGATCTTCCCCGCCATCCTCCCCCCAGTGTTCCCCGAGAGCTTTCCAGAACGGTTGGGGGAGCGCATGGTCCGTGCCAAAACGCTCGGCCATATGGGCGATTCTAGAAGGCAGGGGGCGGCGGTGATTCTCAGTAGGCGTCTTCGATGTCGCCAACGTCTCAATATGCGCTGATGATTCCGATCCGCCCCCGCATGATGTTCCCAGATGCGCCAAGGCAGCGCCAACGCACCGACGCGACTCTGATAAATCTCACTATGATAGAGAGGGGGCTCGGCAGGGGGGCGACGCCCTTACGGGTATTAGGATTCGCCATCTTCGCATCAGTATTATTAGTGTACTGGGTTGTAGCAGTTGTACTATTATGCCAGCTTTTATGAGTAGTAGATTCCGCATTCTTAGTACTATTATTATTATGATTATTATTATTACTATTATTATTATTAATAATATTAGTATTATTATTATTACTACTATTATTATCATTATTATTCGCCTCCTCCTCCTCCTGCTCCTGATCATCCTCCTCCTCGCCCTCCCCCTCCTCATCCTCCCCCTACTCCTCCCCCTCCCCCATCCCTCCTCCCTCCTCCCTCCTCCCTCATCCCTCATCCCTCATCCCTCCTCCTCCTCCTCCTCCCTCTCCTCCTCCTCCTCCTCCTCCTCCTCCTCCTCCTCGTCGTCGTCGTCGTCGTCGTCGTCGTCGTCGTCGTCGTCGTCGTCGTCCCCGTGTCGGGACCCGCCGCGGCAGATTCCGGGTAGATTGGGGAGGAGGAAAAAGGATAAGCAGGAGGAGGAGGAGGTGGAGGCGGAGGAGGAGAAAGAGGAGGAGTAGAAGGGGAGGATGAGGAAAGGAAGGATAAGGAGATGAGGAGAGGAAGGAGAAGGACGGGGCGACGGAGAAGAAGGAGGAGAAAGAGGAGGAGGAGGAGGAGCTTGAGTTTAGGAGGATGAGGCAACCGTGGCAAAGTGAGAGAGGAGAGCCCCGCCCTCCTGCCCTGTTGCGAGACCAGGCGGGTTCCACGCAGAACTCTGGGTTTCAGTGCGGATTCTGGGTTTCGCGATGGCAGCGGATTCTAGGTTTCGCAAAGATTTCTGGTTTCGGTGTGGATTCTGGGTTTCGCGGTTGCATGGCCGGCCGGGTTTCGCTTGGCGGCGATTCCCGAGTTCGCCTCTCCACCATGACGAAGGGCGGGTACAAGGTGGACTGGGCCCAGTGACTCGCTCGAGCTGGCTAGCTTGACCCCTTCTCCAACTCCCGCGCCTCCCCTGCCCCCCTCGGCCCCTTCCCTTATCTCTCGTCCCCTTAACCCTGCCCGTCCTTCCCTTCGAACTCCTCCTCTGCGACTCCCGAAATCCCCAGACGTCGTGATTTTCACAACTTGGATCCCCAGATGTCTGGACCCGCTCCCCAGGACCAGCTTCTCGTCCCGACGAATGTTTGACGATCAGCCCAGTCGTGATCGCGAGGACGAATGTGTCATCCTCCTTCTCCTCCTCCACCTCCTCTGTCCTGCTCTTCTTACCATCAGTACCCGTACCATCTTACCCGTAAGGGCAACATTGTTCTCGTCACTCCAATGAAAAACTCAAATGAAAAACTTGCTCGCAGCATGACCATTACTGTTAGCATTAGTTATGTTAATTCGCCGGCCCAACGGGCCAGAGGCGTGCTAAGATCTCCGGTAACTGGTTAACAATATTTCTAGTTCGCGCGCGCGGGGCGGCCCCTGGGGGTCCCCTGGCGAAAAGTATCCCGACCGCAGCCCGAGCAGGTCTACTCAGAGATGGTTGTGAGGGCCCTTTTTCGACACCCCTCACGAGGATCGTGGCCTCCGAGGGGGGTGCACTCGACTACCCCGCCCCAAAAGGCCCCCAAGAGCCCCCCAAGAGGCCCAAGGGGGCCCCAAGACGCCGCCAAGTAGCCCCAAGAGACCCCCAAGAGGCCCCCAAGAGGCCCCTAGGAGGCCCCAAAGAGGCCCCCAAGAGGCTTCAAAGAGGCCCCATAGATTTGCATTGCCAATAAGATGGTTCGCGTTCGCGTTAAAGTTTTACTTTTCTTACTGGCACTACTGACTTGTTGTCTGTGAGTACTGCGACTCTTGCTGTTCCTCCTCTTCCTCCTCCTCCTCCTCCTGCTTTCCTCCTCTCTTCCCTCCTCCTCCTCCTCCTCCTCCTCCTCCTCCTCCTCATTAGCCTCCTCCTCCTCCTCCCTCCTCTCCTCCTCCTCCTCCTCCTCCTCCTCCTCCTCCTCCTCCTCCTCCTCCTCCTCCTCCTCCTCCTCCCTCCTCCTCCTCCTCCTCCTCCTCCTCCTCCTCCTCCTCCTCCTCCTCCTCCTCCTCCTCCTCCTCCTCCCTCCTCCTCCTCCTCCTCCCGCCTCCTCCTCCTCCTCCTCCCCTCCTCCTCCTCCTCCTCCTCCTCCTCATTCAGGCCTCCTCCTCCTCCTCCTCCTCCTCCTCCTCCTCCTCCTCCTGGGCTGGCAGGGGGCAGGCCCGCGGACCCGCGCCCCATCGCCCCCGAACAGAAAAAGCCGACCCGCCCGGCGCGCCTCAGGGGGCCGCTGGGCGCGCAGCTGTCGCGGGGGTCCAGGAGCGCCAGCGCCCACCTCGGCCATCCGGCTCCTCCTCCTCCTCCTCCTCCTCCTCCTCCACCCTCTCCTCCTCCTCCTCCTCCTCCTCCTCCTCCTCCTCCCCTGCTGCTCCTCTGGCTCGGCGGAGGTGCGCGGCCCTGCCTCCCCCTCGCGCGCGCTCCCGGGGCTCGACCCCGCGCCCTCCCTGCGGCGGGGGCGGGCAGGGCGGGGGCCTGCGATTACCAGCCTCGAACGTATCCCTATCCCTAAGGTTGACACGCCAGAAGGCGATGACAATCTTGGGGATTCGCCCTCAAAAGAAAGGGAGTCCGTAAGATTGGCATCGTGATGAGGAGGTGCCCAGCATAGGGATAGGGATATGTTCTAGGCTGGTAACATCTGGCTCGTCCTCCTGATCACCCTCCTCCGTGCCTCGCCGTCCGACACCAGCTATCCTGATCCTTCACCCTCGGAATCCCCAACATCACCTCCATAAAGCACCATCGCCATCGCTGCGTACCATCAGTCGCGTCGTCCTCATGATCGAGGGCATGCTAAGCGCCCCCCTGCGCATAACAAATGCTAGATGAGCTATAACGTCACATGGTCGCAAGTCTAGCACGATCGCCGCTCACCCAACGACGAGTTCCCACATTTCCGTATGAGCGGCGTGCTGCTATTTAGTTCACCGGAATATGGATGTGACGCAGCCTTGCGCTGGCACGTGGAGAACTTTCCACATCATCGTGGATAGTCGCGCTCGTGCTGGCACTGGGGTCGGATGTTAGGTCGACCTGCGCGGCACCGACATGACCCTGGGTGACGCCCAAGGCCAACCCCGCGCGGGCACGCAGTCGAAAGTGTAGATTCCCCTGAGACAAATTTATGCCCAGGCAAAACAGAAGCTCTTACAACCCTTTTTGCGCAACAATCCTGCACCTTCGATGCGAAGAGTTACGAGCGGGAGAGCCGCCAGATGTTTGCGCAAAGTGACCGAACAAGATGATGTTGGATCTGGCGCCTCGCGAAAATAGCTCCCTGGATGAACGCTGGCCGCCTCGAATTCGACGGGGCGTCGGGGACGGGGGCGGGGCTGCAGGGCTTTGGACTGGCGGTGCTCCTGTCGAAAGGCCAGGGGCGCCAACGCCCCAGCCCCGGGGCGCCGTGGCCATGGAACGCGCGGCTCCAGAAATGCCGGCGGGCGCAGCCACGCCCGTCGGGCTCATACCTGATGACTTCTCAACCAATGGTTCTGCAGGGGGCAATCTGCAATAGAATGGAGAGGGATGACCCCCTCTCCCTCCCCCCCTTCCCCCCTCCTCCCTTCCCCCGCCCCTCCCTCCCTTCCCCCCTCCCCCCCTGCCCCAGTGATGGGGGAGGCACAGGAGGCGCGGGGGCGAGGGGTCGGGCGGGAGGGGCCAGGAGGAGGAGGAGGGGGAGAAGGAGGAGGAGGAGGAGGAGGAGGAGGAGGAGGAGGAGGAACGTGGGAGGAGAGCAGGCCAGGGCCACCAGGAGTGCATGAGCCTCACACCGTCGCCGCCTCACGCGCGGGAGCAGCCCCCGCGGCGGCAAAAGCAAGGGGGCCTCGTGAAGCTGGCGCGCGCGCGACCTGCACGGGCGCGCGACTGTGGACGCCATGACTGCGCCTCCGGGCGGCGCACGGGGCGCGAGCGCGCCCAGGCGCGTGCAGGAGCTCGCACGGGATACAAAACGACGACGACGACGACGACGACGACGACGACGACGACGACGACGCAGGCGTCGGCGAGGTCCAGTGATCAGAACACGCGACGGCCCAAACGTCGGAACCCAGAGGGACAGCTCAGTAGAGTTCTGGAAGGAGCCGCCTGAGGAAAGCTCTGGCAAGAGTAGCTCAGTAAAGTTCTAGACAGAGCCGCCTGAGGAAAGAGAAAGAGCCGCCTGAGGAAAGTTCTAGCAGGCGCGCCTCAGTAAAATTATAGAAGACGCCTGGCCCCGTGCCCTGCGTAAATCATCTTCGGAGTCTACGCCTGCCCTTGATTAACATTATTCAAAGGTGCGGTGGTCAGACAGGATCCGTGCCAAACACATGAAAACCCCACCACTCGGACCCGTCCAAAACCCATCGAATTCGCATAGGATCCGTCCAAGAAGCTTCGGATCCGCATGGGATCTGTAGCGTATCCGTACCCGGATCCGACGTCCGAGGCGGGGCTCACACTCCCGAAAGGGGAACCTCATCAACGTCTGCGGGGGCCCCTGTACTCGTTCTCTGGCGCCCCACGCTGCACCCATCGCCCGCGACCTGCCGCCAAACCCCCTTTCCCCAGGCTGGATGGGCCGACGGCCCCTGGCCTGGCTGGACCAACAGTCTGGTTCCTTCGTGCGACTTCAGACACCGGGCCGAATTCTTAAGTCGCACCAACTTACCTGACTGTCTGTAGTGCTGCGCCCGTTCGCCACGGGAAAACACGCTGAAACATCAAATCCATATGTGGGGACTGGATTCGGTCTCCACCTCTCAGTAACCATTACAATCATCACGAGCGTCCTCCTTCTAGAGGAGGAGGCGGAGGAGAAGTAGGAGGAGGAGGAGGAGGAGAACGGAGGGTGGAGTAGGGGAGGGGGAGGAGGGAGGAGGGAGGACGGAGGAGGAAGGACGACGAGGAGGGATGGGGAGCGGGTGGAGGGAAAGGGAGGACGGAGGACAGAGGAGGGAGGGAGGCAGGGGAGGAAGGGAGGACGGGAGGAAGGGAGCAGAGATGGAGGGAGGGAGGGAGGGGAGGGGAGCGAGGAGGGGAGGAGAGACGAGGGAGGGAGCGAGGAGGTGAGGGCAGGAGCGCGGAGAGAGGAGGAAGGGAGGGGGCGGGGGGAGGGGGAAAGGGGAGGGGGAGGGGAGGAGCTCCACCTCCACTGGCTGCCCTTCTCGCAGGCGCTGGCGGCCGCGTTCCAGCTCACCGCCGTGGGGCGCAGGCCCTCGGCGCGGCCGCGCCCGCTCCTGGCGGGGGCGGGGGGCGGGCGGGCGCGAGGGCGAGGGAGCTTCTGGACTGCGCTCTGCTTCGCCGGGGAAACGGTATCACACACACACACACACACACACACACACACACACATACACCAAAAAAAAAAAATCCTCCTCCTCTCCTCCTCCTCCTCCTCCTCCTCCTCCTCCTCCTCCTCCTCCTCCTCCTCCTCCTCCTGCCTTAGTGCGGCACTCACTAGCTGCTGGCAGAAACACGCGGTATCCAGCAGCACGGCGAGGGAGGGGGAGGGGGAGGCATTACCCCTCCCACGCTGGGGGGGGGCCGCGGCGGGCGCGACCGCGGCGAGGCACGCCGAGGCGCGGCGCCGGGCCGGGCCACAGCGGCCCCGGCGCCCGCGACCAGGCCCACCGCCGCCAGGTACCGCGTCCAGGAGATCCGCATCACGGGCCGCCAGTACTGCGGGAGCACCAGCCTGGAGCCGAGACCTACCCGCGCGCGCGCAGGCACAGCAGCAGGGTGAACGACACCGTCTACGCGCTGCCACGTGCCGGCTTGCATGCGCCGCCACAAAAGGGGGGGGGCACCCTCCGGCGGCCATCGACGTCTTCATCGGCACTGCCCGCAGAAGAACTGCGCCAGCCAGCCATACTCGAACAACAAGAGCAACAACCTGCGTAACATGAAGGAGACCAGCAACCTCAACACAGGCGCCACAGTTGTTCACCAATCTCATCACGACCATCCTGGAATCCGCCTCCAGGTACGAGTACATCTAGGAAGAAAACAAATACGGCTACCAACACGGCAACCAGCACGACAACGAGCACGACTACGCCAGCTACGACGACAACCAGTACGACTACCAGAAAGAGATCGCGTTAAGCCCCCTTGGGCGCTCCATCCCGGAATAGACACGTGCAGTGGCCCTGAAAGGCACGCTAAGATGGGATTCACCCAAAGGATCCCCTTGGCGCCCCCCCCACCTACGTACAGCCAAGACGCTGAGGTAAGGAACAGGCTGGGTTCGGAAATGGCTCGATGTTCCATGGCTGTTCCTCCAGCCCTCCTCGTGCACGGACGCGCTTTCGGGGCCAGAAAGGGGCCTCGTTCCTCATTAATCGTTCCTTACTTCAGCGTCCGACTGTAGCCCTTCGTGCTATGTCGCCAAGGACCCCTCGCTGTCCCGACGGCTGAATCCGCCACGAACTTCCCTGCAGCAGAACTACACCCATGACGGCCTCACCAGAGCATCTCCCACGCCGCGCTCCGACGGCCAGGCCGCGGAGACGGCCGAGGCCGCACTGCGAGGAGCACGACGAGAAGGACAGCGAGCGCGGCGCTGGCGGGGGCAGCAGGTACAACCCCACCGGGCCCCACGGGATACTGGGCAAGCAGCAGGGCTGCCACGGCCACGACGCGGAGCACGCGAAGGCGAAGCGCCCCGACGACCCGGCCGCAGGGACGGCCGAGGCGCCACACGCGGAGCGCCGCGGCCAGGACGGCGAGCACGGCGCAGCTGCGGCGGCCACGACGCGGAGCCCCTGGCGAAGGCCCTTGGCGCCGGCGCGGCTGGCGGAGGCAGGGCTGGCCAGCGCGCGCGCAAGAGGGCGCGGCAAGAGGGCAGCGCGGGAGGCGGCGCCGGCTCCGGCGGCACGGCCCGCCGAGGACGCCGGCGACGAGGGCCCTCACGAGAACGCCTCGGCGCCCGCGGCCTTCCTGGCCTCGGCGATGCCCAGAGCTCCTCTGGAGGCGAGGCGCTGCATCGCTCTGGGGGTGCCGACGACCCCAGGCAGTCTTCGCGACGCCATCCGCGCCGCGGGTCTCCTCCGTGGTCGGGCGGCCGAGGCAACCGCGGCCGCGGCAGCGCGCGCCCCTCCCCCCCGCCGTCTCCCCCTCCTTCTACACCTCGCGCCGCCCTCATTCGGTACATGCCCTCTTCCTTCTCCCCCTTCTCCCATTCTCCCCTCCTCCTCCCCTCCTCATCCCCTCCCCACCTTCTCCCCTCCGCCCCTCCTTCGACGTGACATACTACGCTTTGCGGTGCTCTTCTACGCCATGCCATGCCGTGCTCTACAATGCATCGCGTACCCTTTCGGGATCATTGCCCTGCTCGACATCCGACTGTGCGAGTAGAGAGGGGATCTACGCCATGGTAAGGGATGGGAGGGAGGGGTAGGATGTCAGATATGACGCGAGCGCACCTAGCTTGACCCCCTCTCCCCCCTCCTCCCCTCCTCGTGCACATCGTGTCGCCCTCACTTGACGCGAGGGTTCCCTTCCCCGCCGCGCCCGAGGCCGCCCGCGCAAGCATGCTGCTCTGCCACGAGCGCTGGCCACACCCTGTGGCCGACAGTCCCCGACAGGAGGCCGCGCCCGAGGCGCCTGCTGCCGCGAGGCCCTTGCGAGTGCAGGCCGAGGAGGAGGAGGAGGAGGAGGAGGAGGAGGAGGAGGAGGAGGAGGAGGGGGAGGAGGAGGAGAAGGAGGAGGAGGAGGGGGAGGAGGAGGGGAGAGGAGGAGGAGGAGGAGGAGGAGGAGGGAGGAGGGGGAGGAGGAGGGGAGGAGGAGGAGGAGGAGGAGGAGGAGGAGGAGGAGGAGGAGGAGGGGGGCGCCACGACGCGACGCGCCCTCCGAACACAGTGGAGAGCGGAGAGGCCGGCGCGCCTGCCCGACGCTCAGCCTGCACACGCCGCCCGCGGCACGGGCGACAGGGGGGGGGGGGAGGAGGAGGAGGAGGAGGAGGAGGAGGAGGAGGAGGAGGAGGAGGAGGAGGAGGAGGAGGAGGGCGGAGGAGGAGGAGGAGGAGGAGGAGGAGGAGGGACGGAGGGACACCACAAGCAACGAGCGACACGGATCACAGTCCGCCGATGCCGCCGAAGCCGCCTTGAAGAGCCCGAGCCCCCCCCCCGCCTCCTGTGGGGAGGGGGGGTTCACCAGGGGGGGGCGTCGGATGCGCTGGCGACCCTCTCCCTCCCCTGCCCCGCCCTCCTCCATCGCGCCTGCTGCCTCTTCTGGCTCCTCCTCTCCTCTCCTCCCTCGCGTCTCCTCCTGCCTTCCCTCATCCCTCAACCGTCTGGCGCACTTCTCGGCTCCAGAATCCCGGATCTGAAACTAGAGGGCAAAAAATCCACCCCCATAAGAATCACCCCGACACGCGAGGCCGTCTCGCAAACGCGCCCAGAGAAGGAATCGCACAGGGCAGGGCCGTTTCGTAAACACCCAGGGCCGTTTCGTAAGCGCCAATTGTTTGGACGCCCGACATGGGTACCGAAAAATGGGTACGATGCCCAACAACTAATGTTGTCCCAAACCAACGGCGGCCGCTGTTGGGCAGGCGGCCTTCTGTCTCAAATGGACACAGGCCGCGGCGGCGTGGACAGCGAATCCTCTTCAAAATGAACAGGAACTGCTGTTGGGCATTGTACCCATTATTCTTTCCGTGCCCATCACGGGCGTCCGGAGATTGTCAGGTCGGGGCGACTTTTTTCCTCCCTTGGGCAACGGAGGAGCGCTTCGCCGCCCTGGGCTCCGCGAGGCTTCGGGAGCGGCCAAGAGGGGGGGGGGGGGGGGGGGGGGGGCTAATCATGACCGGCGGCATGTGCGCGGCCCAGCGGGGGGGCCGGGGACGTAATGAAACAAGAAGAGGCGCCATGAAATCTGAGGAAATATCATGGCCCCCGCCATGACATCCACCCCCCCTGGTCGCCACCCCCCTCTTTTCCGCCCCCGAACCTGCACTCCGCCCCCGCCGGCCCAAGCAGGCGGAGCTGCTCAGCCGCGGGCGCCCCGCGCGCCCGCGGCGGGCGGGCCCCCGGGCCTCGGCGCGGGCCGCGCGGGCCCCGCCGCGCCAGGGGGGGCGCCGGGGGGCCGGGGAGAGCTGGCGGGTGACCCCTGCCCGGGTCGAGGGACCGTCGGGGTCCGTCGTGCGGGCTTCGGGTCGCGCAGGTCCCCCTCCACAGGCGGAGGAGTCCCAAAAAGCGCTCCCAAAAATTAGGCAAGAAAGGATCCAGAAGTTCGTCCCCAAGACTATTTGTTGGGGGGTATGTTTGAACACTCCTCCGGCAGAGGGACAGGCCCGACTTGATGCTGGCCTGAACATATCGTCGTTTTGCGGGCCCGACTGCTGATCGCTTGACTTCATCTCGGCCCCCCCTTGTCCTCGGGGCGGCGGGGCCACCATGGGGCGAGAGCCGCGCCCGCTTCTTGCGCAGGCGCTTCACGTCGTAGGCCAGGCGCTTCTCCGTGGGCTGCGACGTGGCCCCGCTGCGCAGGGGGGGCGCGTACTGCTGCCGCCAGAACCCGTCGCCCAGGAGCCGCCCCAGCCTGGGCCCGCGCTCCCCGGGGGCCAGCTCCTCGATCAGCTGGAGGGCCTCGTCGACGCTCAGGCAGCGGTCCGCCGCCACGCGCTGCTCCGGACCGGTCGGGGGCACCCTCTCGAGGACGAGCCAGAACTTCGACAGCACGTGCAGCAGCGAGACACGAAAAGCAGCCCGTGCGCACGCAGCTGACACGACCTCTGGCCAGAGTCTGTCGTCGTAGTCCATGAAGACGAAGACGGATCCCTCCTTGGAGGAGTCGAAGAGGCACGGCAAGATCCCCAGGTTGCCGTCTGTCAGGGCTGAAGCAAGGCCGTGAAGAACGTATGAACAGATGAAGATATCGAAGTGCGAAACGTCTGGCACCATCTGTGGCAACGATTTGTCCAAAACATCGCCAGTGTGAAAGATCCGCCGCAGTGCCTTCAGCACTGAGTGGAGTGTCCCCAGGTCCCTTCGAACTCTCTGTATGGAGTACTCTAAATTCTCTAAGGGACCCACAGCCTCAACTGACGGGGCTGATCGCATGACTCCTGGGGCTGATCGCATGACATGATCGAGCCCCAAGACGGCACAAGATGGTCGCAAGAGAGCCGAGGACGATCCGAGAGGACCTGGAGACCGCCCAAGACGCCCCGAGACGGCCAAGGACTGCCTTTTACTAGGACGGTCGAAGAGGTCCCCGAGAAGCCCCAAGAGGACCCCAAGAGGACACTCACAAGGGCTTCGAGACCTCCGATTCGGTCCAAGAATGTTTTAAGAGGCCTTGCAGGAGGGCCCGAAGATGCCAACATCACTAATTCACCGAATGCCTTTGAAATAACTAGTTTAGCGGTCTCGCCTTGTCGGGTTTCCGACACACCAATACAGCCCAAGAGGCCCCCAAGATCGCCCCAAGACCAGCCAAGACGCCCTAAAGAGAGGCCCAAAACGGTCCAAGAGGGCCTCAAGACGGCCGAGGAGGCCCCAATGACGGCCCAGGAGGCCCCAAAAAAGCGCGCCACAGCTGTGGCCCAAGAAAGGGGGAAGCGAGGGGGCCTTGGAGGCTTCCCCACCGAACTTGCCCCCAAGAGCCCCATGCTCCCCAGAGCCCGCCAGAAGCGCCCGAGGAGCCCCAGGAGGCCCCGCAGAGGCACCCGAGGAAGCCCCTCAGAGGCCGCGAGAAGCCCCCGAGAGCCCCCTCGAGAGGCCCGGCTCCACGAGGCCCCCCGGGAGCAGCACGAGAGACCTCCACGAGCTTCCGCGAGGCCTCTGGCCTGCCACCCAAGCACGGTTGGGAGCTGGCCACTGGATCCGCCGCCCCCTGCTACCAGAAGGGTGCGTGTCGAGGGCTGGCACGTCATGGCCATGCCAAAATGGTCCCTCGGAGGCCCCCAGGGAGCCCCTCGGAGGCCCCCAACGAGCCTCCAGGACGCCTCCAGGAAGCCCCCAGGAGGCCTGAAGAGAGCGCCTAGAGGCCCCCAAGAAATTTACTGATCCTCCTTGTCCTTCTCTTCTCCTCCTCCTCCTCCTCCTCCTCCTCCTCCTCCTCCTGCTCCTCCTCCTCCTCCTCCACATACTTATATTCCTCCTCCCTCCTCCTCCTCCTCCTCCTCCTCCTCCTCCTCCTCCTCCTCCTCCTCCTCCTCCTCATCATCATCATCATCATCTTCATCATCCCACATATTCATCTCATCATCATCATCATCATTCAATCTTCATCATCATCATATCATTCCACATATCATCATCATTTCATCATCATCATCATCATCATCATCTTCATCATCAGCATCATCCTCCATTCAATCTCATCATCATCATCTTCATCTTCATCTCATCTTCATCTCATCATATCCATCATCATCATTCTTCTCCTCGAATCCTCCTCTCATCCTCCTCCTTCCCTTCCTCCTCATCCTCCTTCTCCGCATTCTCATCTCTCTCATCTTCATCTAATCTCATCATCTGCATCTCTTTCTTTCATATCTTCATCATCATCACCTTCATCTTCATCATCTTCAATCTTCTATCATCATCATCATCATCAGCATCATCATCATCATCATCATCATCATCATCACCATCACCATCATCATCATCATCATCATCACCATCATCAGCATCATCATCATCATCAGCATCATCATCATCCACCTCCTCCCCCTCCTGCTTATCCTCATCCTCCTCATTATCATCATCATCATCATCATCATCACCATCATCATCATCATCATCATCATCATCATCTTCTTCATCATCATCATCATCAGCATCATCATAATCATCATCATCAGCAGCATCATCATCGTAATCAGCATCATCAGCAGCAGCATCATAGTCGTCATCATCATCATCAGCAGCAGCGTCGTCATCATCATCATCAGCATCATCATCAGCATCATCATCATCTTCATAACCATTATCACAATCAGAATCAGCATCATCATCGCAACCATCACCACCATCAGCATCATCATCAGCATCATCAGCATCGGCATCGTCAGTATCATCATCTTATTCATCATCCTCAACAGCAGCATAATCATCATCATCGGCGTCCTCATCGGCATCATCATCAGCAGCATCAGCATCGGCATCATCATCGTCATCGCCAGCAGCATCATCGTCATCATCTGCATCAGCAGCATTATCGTCATCGTCAGCAGCATCAGGATCAGCGTCATGATCATCAGCATCAGCATCAGCATCCTCATCATCACCAGGATCATCATCAGTATCATCATCATCATCATCATCATCATCACCATCATTATCAGCATCATCATCATCATCATCATCATCATCATCATCATCATCATCACCATCATCATCATCATCATCATCATCATCATCATCATCTTCATCATCATCATCATCATCCACATCAGCAACATTCGCATAAACAGCATCAGCAACAGCATCACCATCAGCATCGTCATCAGTGTAATCAACAGCATCAGCATCATCATCAGCAGCAGCAGAATCAACATCAGCGTCAACATCAGCATCCTCATCAAGATCAGCATCATCATCGTCCTCATCATCAGAAGTCTTATCATGATGACACCATCACCATCACCACCACCACAACTTTCATCATCATCACCACCATCAGCATCAGCAGCAGCAGAATCGGCACCAGCATCAGCATCAACATCCTCATCATCAT